TTGGCCGCGAGATCGGTGGTTGACCTCAGAGAGGGTGTGGACCCAGCCCTGGTGTCTGCAGATCTCAGCAGAGTCCCTGGGTTACGGGTTGGGCGGCTTCCTCTGAGCAACCCTTTGCCTTTGCCCCGCCTACCTGCTGGGGCTCCTCGCGTGGGCCTGGTATCAGGGAGGGGAAGAGCAGGCAGAGGGGTTGGCAGGCCGTTTCTCAGTGGCTGGCACTGATTTCCCTGTGGAGTGGCTCTGCCTCCACCCCCCCTCGCAGGGCAAGGCGACACGGAGCGAGAGCAGTGAGACACGGTGGCGTCTCACCACTGGCCAGCGAAGTGCTGGCCCTAGCTGTGCGTGGTGTCATACGCAGAGCAGCAGTCCCCAGGTGGAGGACTCCAGGCTCTGGCAGGGAGGACGAGAGACTGCTCCCCTGTCGTCTGGTGCCCCAGCCAGCCCTGCTTCCCTGTGCCCACAAGTCCCGCCTCTGAGGAGAAGCGTGCGACCTCTTGACAGGTGTCCTGGGCAGATGCGCCTTCCAGAGCGAAGGGAGAGCCAGAGTGGTGTGGGGTGCCGGGCCAGGGCTTGGGTTCCAGTCAGTGCGAAGGGTCTCTGACAGCAGCTAGCTGCAGAACAAGACTTTGTGAAGGGGCGCAAAGCCTCTCCCAGAAATGGCGGTTTGCCCCCCTGTGCCTAGCAGCATTGTTTGTATGTGGCATGTGTTTATCACGTGCGTTGGGCAGAATGGCGGCTTGGTCCCACAATGACAGCCGCTGCCACAGAGGCCTGAGTGCCCTCCCCGGTCCCGTCCTAGCTGGGAGTAACCGAGGAGCCAGGTGTGGCTGCATAAAACATGTGAAGATGCCCACACTCTCCCAGCTTAAAAAAAAATCTTGAATTTTTGAAGCCAAATGCTGATTCAGAACAGGAATTACAGTACCAGGACTTCATCCTAGTTCTTCCTCCTGTTACAGATGCTGGGGTTACACTGTCCCATTTTTATTGTTTGGCTTTTTGGAGGCCATGCCAAACAGTACTCAGGGACCCACCCCCTCAACCCCAGCATGATTCCGGAGATCGCCCGCTAGCCATTTGAGCCCACTCTCTGGCCCTGAAGAGACGGGCTCTTTCCTTCCTCGTGTTGTCGACTGCACGTGCGGGAGGAGCCTTGCTGCTGTCACCATCTCCCTGTCACTAGCGTGCTGGCGTCCTGCCAGCTGCTCTGAGACCTCAGACTGCGCTCTGTCCTGGCCGGCTGTGCGGCCTTCTACGGTTCCCTCTCACTCACACGGAACCCCCGTGCCCTGTCGACTGCTTCCTGAGTCCCAGGCATCTGAGTCCCGGGGCATCGGAGCAGCCTCTCGAGGGTGGGGTTGGGAGTTGTCTGCGGGATGCCGAGGGTGAGACACCACCCGGAGGTGGATGCACATGTATTGACCAGACGACTTGTCTCTAGGGAGGACGCAGGGGAGCCCGACTGCTGGAGCTGCCTCTCCCAGGAGGTCCCCTGTGGCAGCTGCTCCCTGAGGCACCGCCGAGACCTGGATGTCTATACCCTCACCTCTGAGTCTGGGGCACAGCACGGGCCCGCCTCTCTCCCCGACGGCTGCACGGCACCCGTTTCCAAGCTTAGGAACCTCCAGCAGCAGCTCATGGTAAGGAGGAAAAGGGCCATTATCAGGCCCTTGGGCCCTTCCCCGTGGTCTCCGGCCAGACAGGCCTCACCCCATGCGTCCAACGTGCGGGTGACAGAGGTCATGAAGTCTGTAGACACAGCATCTACCACAGTGTCATGACTTGACGCCGTTTCTCTGGTCCAAAGGAAATTGATCTGTCCAGTTTGATTTTCTAAACCGAGTGGGAGGGCTGGCGAAGGACAGGGTCTGAGGTTGTTCAGAAAGCCTTTTCTCAGCTCCTCTCAGGAGCAAACCGAGAGGGGCAGGAAGATGAAACTCAAAATCCTCTCGCACCCTCAGGATACAGCTGTTGCCAGCCGAGGCAGTGCTGCAGCAGCAGTCATTACAGATGGTAGAGATGCACTGGGCGTGCCGCTCCTGGCCGCAGAATCCCAGGGGCTGCGTTTAGATCATCTTTCCACCCAGTTAATTTCAGAACTGATTCGATTTGGAACGTGCTCGGCAGTAATTTCATTTAAGGTCCTATAGGGTCAGCTCAGTGCAGGCCTTCCTTGGGAGCAGCGGCAGGGCCAGAGCCTAAGAGCCCACAACAGGGTCATTGTGTTCCTCTGGACCAGCTGCCAGGCCTCGGGCTTTCCCTCCAAACCCTTGCCTCTGGCTGAGGAGAGAAACAGAGCAGGTGCCAAAGCTCCCTGCCTGGCTCTGGAGCCCCAGGAAGTAGTAGATGCCGGGCCATAAGATGACACCCCTTTCTCTATGCATGTGTAATTTTTTTCGTATTTATAACCTAATAGAACAGATTTTAATAGTTTTATGAACTCAGTATTACATTCCCACTAAATTCTTCTGTATATATGTTCTTCAGAATTGTATGGGACAGTAGTGTTTTCCATCAGGGCCAGGGTTATCTTAACCATTCTAACGTAGCTGGTTATGTATGTTTCTCTGCATTGTATATTGAAAAAATAGCCAGTTTTCAATTTTCAAAAACTGCCAGGGATGTGGCTCAGTGGTAGACCACTTGCCTTGCCTGCATGACCTTTCTATCCTTAGCTCTGTAAAAAAAAAAAAAAAAGGTTGCAATAACAAATTTTGAGATGACCTCTAATATCCCCAAGCTGCAATAACATCTGCGAATAATAAAAAATTAGGTATTCTGAGTTTGCTGTGTTCTCATTTATTCAGTATTCACCATCAGCAGAGGAGCAACTTTATCAGAAAGTTCAGTAACATGTCATTGTTGCTGAACCCGTCTGGATTGGCTGCGGGGTGGACAGAGGGCCTGGGCATCCTCGGTGAGACGCTTGGGCGGGCCTGCAGAGTCGGCCACTTTCTTGGGTCTGTGTTCTTGCCTGTCTGCAGTTCCTCTAAAGGCCCTCCCAGATTCCTTTCTCAGCTGCGTGCTTGATGGTAGTCAGTGTTCCCTTATTAGTATTGCTCTTCTATTAGTATTACTATTTTGTTTCGGTTTTTGGGCAGTGCTCAGGGTTTACTCCTGCCTCTTCACTCAGGAATCACCCCTGGTGGGGCTTGGGGGACCCTATGGGATGCCTGGGATCAAACCTGGCAAAGTCCCATGTAAGACGAGTGCCTTTCCCGCTGTAGCATTGCTCTGGCCCCGGTATTGCTATCCTCAAAAGAAAGCATTGAGGGTCACTTTAACCTCCTTTCTAAAGTCAGCTCACGATGCAGAGAATTGTCTCTTCTTGTCTCTGTCACTTTGGCCATTTTCTTGTGCAGCTGTTAGGGAAGAATAGGCAGGACCCCGAGAAAAACCCCTGCAGCTCTCCCAGGCGCTGGGTTGCTCCGACCTGCTCATGCTGAGGGTAGCTGTGGTGATGCCTGTCTCTCTCCCAGGATGGACATCTCCCCCAGGCAGGCTTCTGATTGTGTCTTTGGTTTCTCCTAGAAAACCCACCTCAAGCCGATGGACAATCACCTGCCCCTGATGGTGACAGCGCAGGACCCTCCACATCCGCCCAGTGCTGCAGCTCCCAGCGACAGCTGTCCTTCCTGCCCTGCGGAGCCCGCAGCTGCCCAGCAGCTCTCTCCTCCTTCAGAGCCTGACTGTGCTCCCAGCCACCTCGGGAGCCCTGTGGGGCCAGCAGGGGCTTCTGGGACCCTGTCTAGTGTGATTAAGGGAGAGAGCACAGGCCATTCCTGTCAGGAGGGAACGAAGAGTGCAGAGAGGAAAGGAGGAGAGGCGGCGCTGCTGTCTCCGGCAGACTCTGGCGAGGAAAGGGGTCCCGAAGACCTTCTGGCGGGTGGCACCCAACACGAAGGAGCTGGAGCAAGATGCCCCGGGGGCAAAGAGCAGGAGCCCCCGACGAGCGGAGATGCTCCTTCGCTTGGGTTTCAGCTCTTGGCGTCGGGGATCGCTCAGCCCGACCCTGCAGGGGTTCCGGCTGTTGGTGCAGCCTCAGAAGATGGGGTCCCTGAGCCTGCAGCAGTGACTGAGTGTGGATCCAGGAGTCTGGCTGCTGCTGTCCCCGGGGTGGTGCCCGAAGCAGGCGGAAATGTTGGGGACGGTCTGGAGAACCTCGGCAGTGGCAGAGCTGGAGTCTCTGGTGCCAGTGTCACCAGCAACCATGTCCCCACCCCCGGGTCCTTGGGGAGCAATGCGCCTGCTGGCTCCTCCCTGCCTGTCAGCAGCAGAGAGCCCATCCCCGGAAGCACTATGGGCGCAGGCAGTTCAGGGGGCACTGTTGCTGCAGCACGACAGGGCCCTTGCCAGGAGGGAGCTGTGGCCAATGGCAAGGCTGCCAGCATGGCAGGCCCCGGCCCTGACTGCAGGTCTCCCAGGCCAGAGGCAGGTGTCCTGCCTCAGAAATCACAGCCCGATTCCCCGCAGCTTCCCAGCCCACCCAGCCCACCGCCTGACTGCTGCCCCAGAGGAGGGGACCCGCCTGGCACTGTGGCTGCCACCGCCTCGGCTGTGCCACAGAGCAAGCTGACTTCAGGTGGCACAGGGGCTGCGGGACCCTCTGCTCATAGCGTTACCCTGCAGGCAGAGAGCGCCCCCGTAGAGGGTCCCAGAGTCCAGCTTTCCACTGCTGGCTGCTGCCCAGGGCCCCCCACGGGCCCAGCCGCCCCTGACTCTGACAGCACCCCCTGGGAGCCTGTGGACTGGGGGCCTCGCAGTGCTTCAGATACAGAGGGCCCCGGAAGAGACTGGAAGCCAGCAGGGTCTCTGAGCACTCCGCTGGAGGGGGCTTTGCGCCCACCTCTTGTCCCCAGTGTGGAGTCAGAACTGGGCTTGGGCCAGGCGGTGACATCAGACAGGACTTTTTCTCCAGTAGGCAGTGTGGGCAGTGAATCAGTAACGAGGGATGACGCGTTGGTGTCTGTCCCCTCCCAGAAGGAAAAGGGAACAGCAACTCCTGGGCCTCCCGGGCCTTCAGCCGGCGGACATGGTCCGCACCGAGAGGTCCCAGCCCGGGAGGAGCAGCTGCTGCCAGACCACCCTGCCCACCAGCCCGGGTACAGCCCTGTGCACAGCCGGCCGCCCAGCATGGGGAATGCCAGCCCCGCCGGCCTGGGAAGTGATATTGAGGATCCCTGCGCCTCCGCAGCCCCCAGGGTCCCGAGTAGTGATGGGGACACTGATCCTTCCCTGCTGAGTGGGGGTAAGGTGCTGTTGGCCTCAGATTTTATTTTGACTGAAGATGGAAGAACCCTGAAGGTTCTGGAAGGCTCTGCAGCTCACGGGCCAGAGGACAAGGGTGAAGCGGCGCTGAGTTCCTCCGTGCAGGAAGTTGCTCCTTCTGCTGGCCCCTTGCTGGGAGGGCAGCGAGTGCCCCCTGGACAGCAGGCGCCAGGACTCCAGCAAGAGCCGTGCTCCTCTGCCTGCGCCCAGGACAAGGCCCTTCCCAGGCCCCCACTGGGTGTGCCCCTGGCCTCTCAGCACACAGAGCACTGGCAGAACAAGGAAGTGGCCTTGTCAGGCCGGCTGCCCCCTGCAGGAGGGGCTGCCCAGCATCCGCTGCCCCCTGTGGACTCCAGCCCGAGGACCCCTGGAGCAGAGCAGAGCAGCCCGGAAGCTGCAGAGGCCCTTCTTCACCACCCGCACTGCACTGCGGTGGCCACAGTGGAAAACGCTCCAGCCCAGGACAGCAGTGCCGTCTCCGCGGCCAGAGGGAGGGAGCGGTCACATAGCTCCCGCGACGTCCCGCGCCCGAAAGTCTCCTGGGGCCAGGTGATGGCTCTGAACCCAGACTTGCCAGAAGCTCCCCCCAGCCCAGAGATGCCAGGAGGGCAGGCTGCTGCAGCCGCAGAGGGCACACTGAGTACCACCCCACTGCAGCCTGTAGTCGGGGACAGCCCGGCCCCCGTCACCCCTGCCCTGCAGGTGCCCCCCAGAGCGTGCACGGACCGCACTATTGAGGAGGCTGCGAGTCACATCGTGAATGCTGTCATCCAGCAGGTCAAGGCCTCAGGAGCTCTGGGCATGGCTGGGGGTGGCATTCACCTGGAGCTGGACGCAGCATCAGAGCAGCCGCAGGAGCTGGCCCCTGTTGGGACCGCAGGTGCCCTCTTGCCTGGGGAGACCCTCCCGAGGACCAGCGTTCATGAAGACCCCGCAACCCTGGCTGGGAGGGAGGAGCCAGAGAGGACGCTCCCGTGTGTGCCAGGACCTGCACTGGCAGCAGGTCAGTGGGGCTGAAGCTCAGCAAAAGTTGAAGAGCTGCTTCCTCGAGGGCCTCTACTGGGCTGTGTATGTTGGACTGTGTGTGCGTGGTGTGTGCTGTGTGTATGCTGGGCTGTGTGTGCTTGGTTGTGTAGTAAGTGTGCATGGGGTGTGCTGGGCTGTGTGTATTTGGTGTGTGCTGTGTGTATACTGGGCTCTGTGTGTGTAGTATGTGTGCATGGTATGTGCTGGGCTGTGTGTGTGCTGGGCTATGTGTGTTGTATGTATGCGTGGTAGATGCTGGGCTTTGTATGCATGGTGTATGCTGTGTGTGATGGGCTGTATGTGCATGGTGTGTGCTGTGTGTGTGATGGGCTGTATGTGCGCGGTGTGTGCTGTGTGTGTGAAGGGCTGTGTGTGATGGGCTATGTATGTTGTATGTATGCATGGTATGTGCTGGGCTTTGTGTGCATGGTGTGTGCTGTGTGTGATGGGCTGTGTGTACACGGTGTGTGTGTACTATGTGTGTGTATATATACTCCATTATGTGTGTCCTGGGTTCTGTGCTACGCCGTGCAAGTGCTCTGGGCTTTGCGGTGTGCCCAGGCTGTGCCATGTGTCTGAGCTGTGCCTTGTGCCCCTGGCTGTGCTGTGTGCACGGACTGTTGTGTGTCTGTGTCTGGGCTGTTCCGTGTGTGTTCTGCTAGCCGACAAGGGTGTCTTTGTCTTTGCTGGCAGCGGCTCCTGCTCGTTGGGTAGCTTGTCAGGTGAGCCTTTGCTACTGCCAGGAGGCACGTCCCCGGGGTGGCCAGGGCCAGCTTCCTGTCCCGTAGTCTTTAGCCCGCAGCGCTCTGGCCGTCCCACAGTGCAGCATTTCGATCATTCCCCTTCCTAAGCCCAGAAAACTCTTCCCAGTCAGCCCAGCTGCTGCCTTTTGAGCGCAGTGAGATCGGGGTGGGCTCAGAAGCGGCTTTGAGCAGCGTTCCCAGCTGCCCCCCAGCCCCACCCCCAGATGGCAGTGTTACCTGGTTGGTGAGGATGGGGGATGGGCCGGCCCTTCTGCCGCTGCCACCTCCAGCACCCTGCCTGCTGCAGGCTCCCGTCAGAAGTGCAGGGGAGGATGCAGGATTTCCGCCCCAGCCCTGGGCCGTGGCTGTCACAGGGCAGGCGCTGTGGCTGCTTATCTGGGCGCAGCAGCTGCTCGAGCAGACAGCTCACACGGCAGCCTGCCCCATCCCGGGGAACCATGTGCATGGCGGCACAGGGCGAGCGCTCCTGCTCCGGTCCCACCAGAAACTGGAGTCGCACTCGGCCCGAGTCCTGGTGTCCCCGAAGGTCAGTGTGACTCACCACCTGTGACCAGGTGCCGGCCAGGCCAGCTCAGCTGCCAGGGCCCGGAGGTAAGCAGCTGCGGGCTGGCTTCTTCTCTGCGGTTTCTCTTCTGCTCAGGGTTTTGAAATTCCCTTTAAGTGTCGGTGGGCTCAGGGAGTTGGGGGCAGAGGTGTTCAGAATGAAGTGGCCGAGCAGGAAAAGCACTGTGTGGGGGAGAAGAGTCGCTCGCCGCCGACTCTGCCTGGAGGAGCGCTTTCGGCCGCTGCTGATCTTGACTTCTGTTTGTGTTTTTAGTGGAGACGTTTGAAAGACTTGCGGTGGTATTTTTGGTGATGTTCGATGTCTAGTTTTATTACTGTGAGTTTTCTTGTGATTAGATAGCAGCATTTCGACGTGAAGTTTTCCTGTTTTAAAAACACAGCCCGAGAGCAAGTCTATTTTGGGGGCTCTGGTAGGGTGCCCCCCAGGAGAAAGGGAGGGGCTGTAAGCTGAGCCGGCCGTGCTCTTTTCATCCAGGCAGCACGGGCTGGAGTGAGTTCTCTCTCTGACTCAGTCTGTAGACCAACTCCGGCCCGAGGAGCTTTGTGAGGCTGGGGCTATGCTGCCTGTGTGAGGAAGGTAAAAACCCCAGGGATTTTCATCACGTCCCAGGGAAATGGTAAAGGGTTTTCCAGCCTCGAGGCTGCGGAGAAGAAAGCGGGGTGTGCCGTTGAGCTGGCCTCTGGTGGGGGCTGGCTGCTGTGTGGGGGCGAGCTGACCACTGGTTCTCTCTTCCCCTGTTTGGAGCCATTAACTCGTGGTGTGCCCCGAGAGAGAAGTGGTCTCTGATGAAGAAATGGGTGCTTTCTTCCAAAGAGAGCCAGGACTGGGGAGAATCCCTGGGTGGTTGCCCCAGAGAGAAAGTCCCGAGAGCGATCTCAGAGCCAGAGGCTCTCGTCGGAGTCTGCGACCTGCCTGTTGAAGCAGAGGAGGAGCAGGGCTGCAGAGCCCCATGGGCAGCGACTCCTGCCAGATGCCCTGCACTCTGGGCCGAGAGCTGCCAGCCCTCTGACGTCAGCAATCACTGTTTACTGTTGTCATGCTGCCTGTGTGCCCAGATACGTATGCTCAGCCCACCGCTATGAGGTAGTAACACCGGGCCAGAAATCACACTCCAAATAAATGAAATGAAAGTCATCAACAGCCCCTCCCCCCAAGTGAAAAAGAAGTTATTCTGACTCACTTAGAAATGTTTGACCTAGGAAAATGTTAAGTGATTGCTTAGTCAGACTTTCCTTTTTTTTTTACACTTATATTTCATAAACCATAGAATAGATTGGGGGGCAAGGCAGCGTGGTTTTTTTCTTTTTCTTTTTTCTTTTTGATGCTAGTTTTAAGAGGATGTAATAGCGAAAGCAAGGAAAGAGGATTTATAAATGCTCATTTATGGGAACATAGCTTTACAAAGCTGGAGTTGGACATTGCACGCCCCATGATGTTAGGGTGATATTTCAACTAAGAGCGTTTCTTTTTGACTGAGAAAACCCTCAGTGCACTTTGGCTTAGTGTCTGTTTCTCTGCCAGGGCAGTGAGTGACAGGACCTAGATAATAATGACCCCAGAGAAGTCTCCACGGTAAGCAGAGGCCCTAGTTTCTCCCTCTGTGTGTGGGTTATCCAGGCAAATTTGGGCTGATGGCTTGTTAGCCTTTCAATGAAGTGCGCAGATGTGTTTGCTTCAGAGACCGCTTGATCCCTTCCTTCCTGAATCTGCTTGAGCAGATGGTGGCCAGGTAGCACATGCCATTGCTGTCTGGTCCATCCGGCGAGCATGATTTTGGAGAAAAGCATTTGCTTGAGCAAAGGAGTAGCCAATTTGTGATTATGATTTGGTCAGGGATGAAATGAAAGTGGAGAAATACTTCACAGGGCTGCGCGTCTCCCAGGCAGCCGTGAGTGTAGACAAGAGTGGAGCCTCTCTTCTGAAGTCTTGTTCCAGGGGCCGTATGTGCCCTGCTGGCCCATGCAAAGGCAAACCCCTTCCACACTTACTTGCTGTTCTGGCGGTGACCTCGCTGCTGCAGAGGTTACTTCTCTGGTGCACAGCAGTGCTGCACCCCCAGTCTGTGTCATGAAAAGCCAGCAGTGCCAGTGGACACTTAATTAGGCCGTGAAGGGGCTCTTCCTTGCCTCCCCGGTCCCAGGATCAAGGCTTCGAGAAGCGCACGGCCACCAGACGGACCCTGAAAGCAGAGCAGGAATCCTGAACTACAATGCAGGGGGCAGGGCCCAGCAAGCACTTTATGACCAGCTCATTCTGTTTAGAAATGCCGGACACGAAAGCTGAAGATGGAGTGGATTTTCTCGGTGAGCCCAGGGGCAGCGCCATTTCTGAGGAAGCGTCTGGTGAAGCTTCCCCTCCCAAGATGAAGCACAGCCTGAAGACCCAGGTGGTAAGTAGCCCAGGATGCGCTTGGTCCACTCAGCCCTGGCCCGTTTACCCTCCACCCGTGTGCTGGCTTCACTCCTTGCACCACAGCAGATGGTCACGAAAAGACTCACCCCAAACCGGACAGTTTCTGTCATCAAGTTTAATGTGTCACTCAATGAGGATTGGCCCCTGGAAGGGATCTGTAACCCTTCTTAAGCTGGCTCCTCTTTCTTCATCACTGTCACTGTCACTGTCCTCCTGTTGTTCATCGTTTTGCTCGAGCGGGCCCAGTAACGTCTCCATTGTGACACTTGTTACTGTGTTTGGCATATCGAATACGTCACGGGCAGCTTTCTTCATATAGTGCAAAAATAAGATTGATTTATTGCTCAGTACTTAAAATTACAACCTGTTCACTAAAAAAAAAAATGTATTGAGCAGTTTTCTTTCCCCATACCTTTATTAGCATTCACTCCCTCACCTAGAGGGGCAGTTCATTAGCTTTGTTCTCGGTGGGGCTGTGGGGCATGGCCGTACCTGGTTTTGCTCTGGTGCTGCTTCCGGTTCTGTGCTCAGGGGACCACGCAGAGCCAGGGACCGATTCTGGCACTCCTGTATGCAAAGTCCACACCACAGCCATTTGAGTAACCTCTTCGGCCATGGTTTAGTGTTCTTAATATATTCACAGAGCTTCGTAGGCTTCACCACTGTCTTGTCTAAATTTAGAACCCTAGCATCACCTCAAAAAGAAACCTTCACTCCTTAGCTGTCTCTCCCCAGCCCCCAAACCCCAAGCAGTCACTTTCTGCCCATGCGCTTGGCCTTCCTGGAACTTCACAGAGACGGTAGTTGTGGGGGAGAAGGGCCCTCCAGGTGACCTGGCATTTCGGGTCTCCTGCCACCCATCAGGACCACCACTGGCTGTGGCCCTGGCCACCCAGACGAAACGGTGAGAATGTGAAACGGCTCGTTGAATGCAGCAGGCCACTCTGGGTCTCGTGGCTGCTCTCTCCCACCCACTGTGCTGCCTCAGGGGTTCGCCCATGTTGCGACATTGGTTTTTCTTTTTATTGCTGAGTGGCATTCCTTGGGCTGGACATACTGTGTTTCGTCTCTTGAATTGCTGGACTTTATGGCCGTTACAAACGTACCGTGATGACCATCCGTGTGTGAGCTTGTGGTGTCCTGTTTTCATATACTTGCTAATGGGTTGGCCATGTCCCAGGGCATTTACAGTTAGCATTCAGTCCGGATTTTTAAAGTGGTGTATTTCCTTCACGGTCTTCAGGTTAATCTTCTTTCTGTTTATGGCTGTTAATTGCAAAACATGGATACTGAAAACGTGGGGGCTGGGGAGCCAGCTCAAAGGGCTGACGTGTATGCTTTCCACACAAAGGTCCAGAGGTCTGCCTGGGCACTGGATGCATGCCCTGGGCCCGAGCACTGAATCCTCTGGCCTATACAGCAGGGCCAAGTCCTGCCGGTAGTGGCTTCAGAGCGCTGGTTGGGGACACCTCCTCCAAGACCACACTGTTCACTGGACTAGACCCTCTGGGTGAGCTTTTCCTCCTAGAGGTAGGATGTGTCTGGGTTCCTTTCGGGAGGGTTCAGCGGTCTCTCCCTTGACAGCGCCCCCACAGTGGGACAGAGCTGTTCCTGCCTGGCTGTTTGCAGTGTCTGGGCAGTGAGGTAAGCGGGGTGGGGAGGCGGGAGGTGCTTGACGTGGCCCCAGGTCGTGGTCGTGACTCATGCTGGGTGGCTCCCGCTAGCAGGCTTTCTTCAGACAGATGCTGGAGGGGCACACACCCTGCAGGGGACCCACGTCTTTGTTTCCAGAAACCCGGGAAATGGAAGGGACAAGCTCATATCCTTGAATTCAAATGCCTTCATGTCAGTGTGGTGCTGGGTGGGGTTGTGGGATGTGCCGGCATCTGTATACTAACTGCATCTTGTCTGACATGGAGGAGAGAGCCCCATTCTTTGTCAGGGAAGCCCCTCATCCCCTCCCTGGTCTGTTGGAGCGGTTGGGAGAGAGGGGTTGCCACTCTGCTTCATGGGGTGTTTCACTGCACAGTGAGGAGAACGTGTGGTCAGCCCAAGGTCAGGTGCAGCTGCAGGGCTTGCTGGGAGTTTGCTTTCTGACCCACACTTACACAACAGGGCCTTCCTTCTGATGCTGCCGGGCTCGGGACTGGTGGGGACAGTACAGGGAGTGCCAGCAGGCCGCCAAGTATGTGTTTATAAGCCCTAGGGTGTCTGCTCCCCGCATGTACTTGGAGAAAGCTCTGGGGTGATGCTGCGTTCTGGAAGACGGTCCGGTCGTAGAAAGTCTTCTTGTGTGCTCTCAGTCTTGTCGGGAGGCAATTCAAACGTGTCCTCCTTCCTCCCCTTTTGTTTTCTTCTGCACTCACTGAATTCCTTGGTCTGTTTGCACGTGGTCAACAGAGAAAAGTCCACAGACAGGAGTGTGGCCGCATAGTGAGGTGCACCCCCCGCCGACACCAGGCCCCTGTGTCATCACAGGCTGGGTGGGAAAAGCTGGGGCTGTGCTGCCGTGTCTGGAAGTTGAACTTCACATGGTGTTCAGGTGACATGAAAATTCTTTCTTGCATCATGCCCTAACCTCTCTTAAGAGGGTGTTTCTGCCGGGGTTTCGTGGACAGGCAGTGGGCCTGCCTGAGGTTGCCATGCAGCCAAGGGTGGAACGGTCAGAGCACTTGGTCTCATTCCATGACCCCTGCCTGCCTGTAGCCGCGCGGCAGGTCAGGGACTGAGGCCAGCAGGTACTCCTGCACTCGCCCCCGCGGCCCCTCACAGCTGCTTCTCTCTTCCCCGCTGCTCCCTATGCCAGCAGTCTGGAAAGGCGACTGCGGTACCCGACTATCATCGACAGTGGGGTGGCGTTAGTGCCACGTAAGCCGCCTGATCTTTGTGATATATGTTCATTGTGTGTGAGCCTGGGATCAGGCCAGGTATTGTTGGATTGTTTGTGACACTCTGTCCTCTCTGAGATTCCAGTCAGACTCTGCTGACCCCAGGCGGAGTCGCTGCCTGAAGGTGCGTTGTGGCAGTTCTCGAGAAGATCGAAAGCATTGAGCTGTGACTCTTCTCGGTAACCTACCTTCCCTAAACGTGTGTGTGGTTGTTGATACACGGGGACCTCGGGTGGGTGAGGTGCTCCCCAGTGTCCTGCTTGCTTAGCCCTGGGCACAGGGAACAAGCCCGCACTCGGCGGTCAGTGGAGCATACTGTGGGAATCAGGCAAGGGCATGTTTGCTTGTGTTTGCTCAGGGAAAAGCAGACGTGTGAATGCTGCTGCTTTGTTGCTGGACAGTCTTCATAGACTTCTTCACTGGGCTGGAAATTACTCACCATTCGGAAGGCCTTGCCAAAATTGATCCGCAGTTTGGCTGTTACCATTGGTCATTTTTCTACACTTTGTGGCTGTGATTTTTTTGTGGGTCAGAGCCTTAATATGTTTACACTGTGATATTCAGCATTATGTCCACTTACATGCTTCATTGGACTCAGTGTTCTCAGATTGTCTTTGGCTTCTTTGCTCCCTCGGTGAATGAATATAGATCGCCCTCTGAGATCTGAGCCTGGCTCCTGGCTGAGCAGGATTCCCCGTACTTGGAGGCATAGCTTCAGGTGACAGTGTCCATTTCCACTCCTTGGGGGAACCAGAGGCATATGGGGCGTTGTCTTTTCAGAACTGCCGAGTAGTAGCAGACACCAGCTTAGGTGCTAGCGGGCTGGTTCAGCCTCTGCTGCCCGCTGAGCTCTGGCAACCTCTCTGAATGAGTGGAGATTACCCATGGCCTCTCACTTCTGCTTTAGGACAGAAATGGTGGGTGATGCTATGCCTCACAGGACACTCAGAGGGCTTTGTCGGCTGGCTGAGAGCCTCCTAGTCTGTTACTGATGTCTTGCTGTCTTGTTTCCAGAAGTGTGATCCCGAGGAGGTACCTCCAGAGACTCAGGTTCCCAGTGTCCCCATGTGTATGGCTGGTTGCATTCTAAACTAGGACCCTTGAATGTTGCCCACACGCTTAAAGTCAAACACCGTGATCGACAACTGGAGAAACTTCTGTGGCCGCTCTCGGACTTTCACTCATGTTCTGTTTTGCTTAGCTGCTGAGCTGCTCTCTTTGCCACCAAGATGGTGTTCACGCAGAGAGTTTGCTTTTGGAGCAAAAGAACTTTCTAAGGTCTTGCAGCCCTGCCTTTTGGTTCCTAGAGAATGGCGTGGCCAGGTGTCTGGACCGCGTTGACCGCCAAGCGCAGGAAAGCAGCTCTGTGGGGTCCTTCCCGCGGAAACGTGTTCCTGCTGGTCAGGACAGCATTGCGACGTCTGCTGCTCGGCGCAGGGCAGCGAGCGACTCAGGAGTGTCCGCGTGTCTTTGCCAGTTTTCGTCTTCAGTGTGCAGCCTCGAGTGTTAGGAAAGCGCACGCTGCCCTGGGCAGCCCTTCATTGAGCGACTCCTTTTCCAGTGGCTTATTGCATAAACGTATTGGTCATGCGGATTGGTCAATCCTGCAGGTGGTTTATCTCGCTGGTATCCGAGCGTCCAGGCACAGCCGTGAAATCTCCCATGTTGGGCAGTAGGTTTCTTGGAAAGCCGACCTCCATTTAACACACACACACACACACATACACACACACACACACACCCTCGATTGAATCCGAACCATGGGGCCCGACCCTCTCTTTTCCCTGGTTAAACATCAAATTAATCACATTGCTATTTTTAACTCTTTTGAAAAGGGTGTTAAAATTTTGTTTTTAGAGTAGTCAGGGCTGTGTTGGACTTATTTTGGTTAACATCTTCTGGAATTCCCTGTGTCGATGAGTCACTTTTCCCGGAACACAGTTTCTTTCTCGTCTCCAGGGGGCGAGCTTGCCTTTCTTTCTCTTGGCTTAGCAGGACTGGGTGGCTCCTGGCTCAGCCCCGAGAGGCAAACCTGGCCACCCTGAGGCGCTTCAGTGACTGACCTGAAGAAGCCGAAACTATGGTGTTG